CTCGGGTAGATCGAGTAGTGAGATAAACATGGGAACCTGTGAGATACACTAAAGTTAATTATCTAGAACTGTGGCTCAAACATTTCCTTGATGTATGGACTTATGTCCTTAATTCCGGTATTGATAGGGCAACTGGGGGGTTCTGATAAAGTAGGTTTGTAGGAAATTATTTTCTTCTTTCTATCTGTCAGTCATATGTTGCTTCCTTGCGTGATTGGAACAGATCCGACCTGGATTGAACCCATGCAACTCTATTTCTATGCATCTTCTTTATCTATGCAATTCTTTCTATCTGTTAGTCATATGTTGTCTCCTCTGCGTGATTGAAATGATCCGACCTGGAACACAGCATATGCAACATTCTACCTCTCAATCTCTCTATCTTTGTTAGTCATATGTTGTTCCCTTTGTGTGATTGGAAGACATCCGCCTGGGATACAACATATGCACTTCTATATCTGACTTCTTTCTTAATGATTGAATACTCACCTAAAGTAGGAGTTTCTTTGGAAGTTCTTGATTACCGGGGTATATCGGGAAGTGGGAAACACGTTCTAGTACATCTAAAATTGAACCATTTAGAGGTTGTCTGTAGATCTTGCTGATTAATTTAAGTGGACAACAATATCCTTGGTCGTCGTCCGCTAAATGTCCATTTAGGAATATATATCACAATGTCTTGTCACTTATAATCTGTCCAAATTGTCAACATACTTTGTGTTTAAGTGGACCACAATACCGGTGATTGACCAGATCTAGACATGCAGGAGTGTGCTGATAAACGATATTGGATTGCTTGACAACTTGATCCCAAATATTTTTGGTTTTTGTTAAATTTGTTCATAGTTTTCCTCTATGCACAAATTTAGGGGGAGAATTAAAAAAAAAAATCCAAAAATCAAACAAAAATCAGAAAATTAAAAATCCAAAAATAGTGTTATTTCTGTTTTAATTTTTCTGTTCAGAAAAATAAAAAAATCCAAAAATATTTTTGTTTCTGTTTTATTTCTTGTTCAGAAAAATAAAAAAATCCAAAAATATTTTCTTTTAGTTTTGTTTTGTCTTGAAAAGTGAATTCAGTTGTAAATGAGACTTATGGAGACTGAATCGAAAATTTCTGAGCCAAGGCTTCATCCGTGAGCATCGAAGAATTCTCATTCGAAGGAACAAGAAATGAAGATTATTCTTTCAACATTCAATCCTTCAACCCCAGAAGCAAGGTCAAGCTGTAATTGAAGATTATGTGACAAGATTGCATTGAAGCCTCCTCAATCAATTTGTTGCTATCTTGTACCTGCTGAAGTGATCCAGAAGATTAGTTCTCTCTGATATTCTCTCTGAAGATTCTCAAGCTGAAAGCGCTATCTTTCAAGAATCTTTTCAAGAATCCTCCTCACCCGACGTGCGTTCAAAGCCAAATTCTGAAGAAAAGCCCAACTGCTCAAGATGAAGTCATTCATTGAAGATTCATATGTTCATCTTGAAGTCATGAAGATATCAAAGATTAAAGCTGAAGCCAAAGCTCCTAATGAAGATTAACAAGAAAAGCCAGCTACTTTTTAGGGGGGGCTTGTTTGGTCAACTAGAAAAGAAAACTATAAACCAAGGGGGAGATTGTTGGGTCAAAATTATGGTTTATACTTTACTTTTCTAGGAAAATGTATTTTTGTGTCTTGGACCGTAAACAGCTTGGTGTTTACGGCTGTGTTTACGACCGTGAATAGATTTACGGCCGTGAACCTGTTCACGGCCCATGTCTCATATATATAGGGTGAGGAGTGCATGTGGGTGGATAGACAAGGAGCTTAAGTGTGTGTATTCTAAGGAACTTCATTCTCAACATTAATACATCATAGATTCAAGTTATTCTTCTTCTCCTTCTCTTCTATTTTGATCTGGCATCATCCGTTTGATTGGGATTCCGCACCATCAAACGGATCTGATTGATACACAAGCAGATTGGGAACTTACAAGTGGGTTGAATGGGTTGAGAAAGATAGGATTTCCGTGTGTTGTGGGTTGGGAAAGATGAAGAAAAAGGAGAGACAAAAATTGATGTGACAGTCGGTTCAGTGGGTTGGGAGGGAATGACTCCCTCCTCCCTTATAGCTTTCTTGAAAGACTAAGATAATTTAAGTAAAACCCATTCTTACTCTGGACAAATTGCTTTTGTTGGACTAGTAAGTGGCTTGATCACAGGGACCATTCTACTTTATGGCATCCTAATTATAACAGGTTATAAAAGTAAGTGGCTTGATCATTTGCATTCATTTGCTGACCATTTTACCCTTTCATCACGTTTGACCATTTTACCCTTTCAGCCTGTCGACCAATATCACCATGTTTACCAAATTGCTATAATATCAAACTTCTATCTATTTACCTAAAGTTCTTATTGGCAACAATTTCTAGTTGATCATGTTTTATGGATACATGGTACGCAAAATGGAACTGGTTACCTTGGACCTGAATTTTACAATGCTCTCAAAGTTGTAACAATTGCAGAAAGTAAGATGGACGTTACTTCAGACATAGTGAAGGCTGCATTATATGAATTTGCTTCTGCTAAAACTCCTGCACCTCGGATCAATCTTGGAGCCTTACCTGCACCTTAGTCCATTTTGTCGATAACTCAATTTTCTGCACCTTAGTAATTGATCATGTTTTATTGATAGATTGATGACAGATGATTGATGTGGAATAGATAGAACGAAAAAGAAGGCGATGGGAAGCAGCAACTGTGTAACCATCTGATTGGAGATACAATTACGGTATACTCATAAGCAATGTTTAAAATTAATAGATATATAATATAATAATTATAAAACTATGAAGATGTTGATGAGTGCACCAATCCCCAAACATGTTCTCCTCAAAGTTAATATCTATTCTGGTTCTTCTCAACCCTAGTTGTATCTCGCTTTCTTACGAACCTCAAAATGGTGAAAGCTTGAGGACTTACAATGACTTACAATGAGTCCAGAAGATACACACAAGGATGGAGATGGATTGCTTGCTGGATCAATGCACCAAACTCTTTTCTTCTTCCTTCAAGAACACCACAACATGAAAAATGGGCTCCAAAAGCCTCAAGGAGGCTATGGTTTTCTTAAGGGTACTTTTAGGAGGTGATGGAGGCTGATGATGGAGGAAACCCTAATCATCACTTCCTTTGAATTGGGCCTTAGCTCATAAAAACTAGGGTTTTCCCATGCCCAGATGCCACGCCGTGACTACAGTGTCACGTCGTGACATCTAAATGAAATGCACGTCTCATGTGAACCATGTCACGTTGTGGTGATACCTCCACCTCTAGGGATGAAATAAGCATGTACCCGTCTATTTTAGATGAAACCGGAACCGCTCCCAGAACCGGCGGTTCTTAAGTTATTGCTACCGGAACCAGAACCTCCTATAGTGGTTCCTAGAAAGTTAGAACTGTTCCCGGAACCGCCATGACCGGTTCGGTTTCGGGTACCCGACTTCTTAAATATATAACTTCTTATTTATAAATTATAGAGTACATGCCATGGATATTAACGTTTACAAATATCAGAAGTAGAAGATATGAAAATAAAAAAAATTATAAAAATTTGATCTTTTACATAACCACCTATTAAAATTTAAAAACACTTCCCACAATTAAAAAACATCGTAGAAAACATTTCCCATCAAGTGAAATTTAACAAGTAGAGATGACAAAAGTGACAAATTACAAACAATAAACATTAAACAGTAACAGGAAAAAACAACACAGCAAAAACAGCATATCAATAATCAAAAAGAGCAGAAACAACAACAATCATTTCCTAGTAACAAAAAAAAAAAAAAAAAAAAAAAAAAAAAAGAGCAGCATAGCAACAAGCAACAAACAGTACAGCAAAAACAGCACATCAACTGCAGCAACAACTAAAAGAGCACAACAATAGCAGCAACAGAAACAAAAACAACAGCAACAAGCAACAATGTCTGATTTTACCATTTGAACCTGAAATATTTTTAGTAGCAAAGTGAACATTGTTGTTAGGACATAGCAATGAAGCTCTGAAGAAACCAAATTGATGCATAACAAAAAGAGCAACTGACCTTCGTTATCTGGAGCTGATCTTTTGGCTGCAACATCAGGAACTCTGCTCAGAAAAATTGGAAAATGGGTCTACTTGCGTTATCTTTTACCTCCGACAGGTCAAATTGGTAACCATTGCAAATTAACTAGCATTAGCCATACCTTTTCTTGAATTCCTAATGACTGAAAATCAGATAAAAACCAAATGCAGCAAAACTCATTGAAGCATACTTGTACAACCTGATAGAGGAAGTATTCAGTAAACAGAAGTAGAAAATAAAATTTGATGCTACTAGAAACATGAAAACAGCTTCCTGCATTTTGAATTTAGTCATAAAATCCTTGCAACTCTCTTTAAAAACAAACCGAGAAAAATAAAGCTATACATAACCAATATGCACACACTGAATACATTGATATTAAATAACCTGGCCCATCAACAAGTTAAACAAAAGAGACAATATTGGTCCATTTCAGTTTTCTCACTTGTATAAAAACACATATCTCGCCAACAACAGTTAACAGAGTGCCAATTGAAAGAACACGTTCAATTCGATTGACTCCAAGCATCTTGAAAACAATGACAGTGTAAGCCATACTTAACACCATGAATTCATTTACATGCATACATAAAAATAATGTAAAAGGTCAAGACATTCCATAATCCATACCTTGAGACGTTGTAGACAATCTAATGTTCCACGAACAAGTGATCTTCATGACTCCTCAAATACTTCACTTCCAGCAGTTAACAACAAACCAGTAGCACCACAATGTCCTTTTGTCCCCAACTACAGTCATTTGATTTTGCTCAACAGATGCAAAAATAATTGAGTAACAGATGTAAGTACCAAGTGAACAGATTACTGAATCTTACTGATTGAGCAGGTTTGGCCTTCGATTGAACGGAACAGATTTGGCCTTCAAACTAGTCGTCTTCCATTGAGCCGACTGAATAGAGATGAAGCTTCGATTGAGCCGACTGATTGAGAAAGTAGTTGCAGATTTAAGAGCCGACTGAACAGAGATGAGTGACGATTGAACAGCATGGGTTAATCGGTAATGTGAGCGGATGACGATTGAATCTTCGACTGAACATATTGAAGTTGCGATTGCAGCTTCGACATTGACGAGAGTGTCTACGAGAAGAAGAGAGTGTAGTGTAGGGTATCAGCTCTTTTTTTTTTTTTGAAAGAATGAATCACTAAAACGCTAAAAACGACTAAGGTCTAAGTAATCAGATATAAGATCTTTTTATTCCTATTTTTTAAAAACAAAAACACAAAAATATAAAAAATAAATATATGTTTTTAGAAAAGGCGGGTACTCGTCGTTACCGGTTCCGGTTAACCGCCGGTTTCGGGTGCCCGGTATTGGAACCGAAACCGGTGGGTATCCAACGAGTATTGGTTTTGTAAAATTGAGAATTCGAACCGGACCCCTTGAGGCGGTTCCACAACTTTAGGAACCGGAACCGGAACCGTTTAAGGCAGTTCAAGTTCAAGAACCTGCAGTTTCGAGGCGGTTCCAATTCCGAAAATAGGTACCAACTTCCGTTGCTCATCCCTAACGTGGTCATCCAAACACTCATAAATTAATTTAAAATTCATACCTCAAAGATAGGGATGTTACACATCGCCCCCGACAAGACAAAATTTAGTGACAATTTTTGATGATGTCGTTGCAACCTTTTTGGTATTTTTGTGATGGTTTTTGATTATGCTACTATAATATTTCTGAGATTTAGTGACATTTTCTTATATTTTCTAGAATAAAAACCATTATACTAAGAAATGCTTATTCTACATGTATCCCCCAATTGACTTTTGACTATTGAAGTCTCAAAATTAACTCGATTTGACCTTTGACCATTGAAGTCTGAAAATTAACTTGATTTAGGCATCCATCACACTAAATTGTACCTGAAAGTCTGTGTATTGACTCGTTTTGCCCTGGCCTGATATATAGAGATATAGAGATAGAGAGATATGAGAGATATATATATATATATATTATATATATATATCGAGATAGATATATATATATATATATATATATACAGGGAAGCGTTCAATCGAGAACATTTCTTATCGCGAGAACATTTGAGAACAAATTGGACCACACAAAAATTTTTAATTAAATTTAAAATAATATTCAGATAAATCAAAAATAGTTACAAACAAAGAAAAACTCACGAACGAACACCACTCACCACCCACCACCGATCACCACCGCCCACAACCACCACCCATTGCTAACCACCACCCCCCACCCCAACCACCACCCACCCACCCCAACCACCACCCACCACCCTCCACCACCACCACCACACCAATCACCACCCGCCACCACCATCACCACCCAACCACCACCACCACCACCCGCCTCCATAACCCGCCACCACCACCCACAACGACGACCGACCACCCAGCACCACCACCACCCAGCACTACCCCCCACCACCAAACCACCACCCACCACCCAGCACGACCCCACCACCACCAACCACCACCCACCACCCATCACTACCCAGCACCCACCACCACCACCCGCCGCCACCATCACCACCCACCACCATCACCACCCAACCACCACCGCCCGCCACCACCACCCATCATCATCACCCAACCCAAAACCCCCCCACCAAACTACCGACCACCAGCACCACCACCCGCCACCACCACCACCCCGCACTACCCTCACCACCACCCACCCAGCACCACCACCCACGACCCATCACTAGCCACTACAAAACACCCCATCCCAGCAGGCCCACCCACCATAACAACCACCCACCACTAGCCGCCACCACCATCACCACCTACCACCATCACCACCCAACCACCACCACCCGCCACCACCATCACCACCCACTACCACCACTACCAATCACGACCCGCCACCACCATCACCACCCAAACCACCACCACCCGCCACCACCACCCCACCTCCACCACCCGCCACCACCAACCCACAACTACGAATACCACCCAGCACCACCACCACCCATCACTATCCACCACCACCCGCCACCACCAACACCAACCACCACCCCCCGCCACCATCATCACACCACAGCACCACCACCCCAACCACCACCACCCGCGACCACCACCCAGCTCCACCACCCATCATCATCACCCAACCAAAACCACCCACCATAACTACTTACCACCCATCACCACCACCCGCCACCACCACCCGCCACCATCAACCACCCATCACTACCCACCACCACCCACCTACCACAACCACCACCCGCCACCACCATCACCACCCAACCACCACCACCCACCTCCACCACCCATCATCATCACCCTAACTAATACCACCCACCACCACTACTTACCACCCATCACCACCACCCGCCACCATCACTCACCACCACCACATATCATTGCCCACCACCCACCACCCATCACTACCAACCAACACCAACCACTGTCATCCACCACCACCACCATACATCACCACACGCCACCACTACCCATCACCACCACCACCGCCACCACCCACCCATCAACAACACCACCACCTACCACCCACCAACCACACAACCATCACCCACAGACCACCACCCACCACCCCTACTACCCTTCACCATCACTACCACCTACCTTCCTTCATCAACCATCACCACCTAACAAATTATCACCCACGACCCCCATCACCTACCACCCACCACCACTACCACCACTCATCACCCATCACCACCACCCACCCCACCTCCACCACCACCACCACTATACATCCCTATCACCACCATCTCCACCACCACCACCTATTATTACAACCACCACCACCATATGTGATTAAATACATATAATCATATAAATAATATGTGATTATATGTATTTAGTCATATAAATTACATGTGATTAAATACATATAATGATATATGATTATATGTATCAAATCACATATGATTTATAAAGATATATAATTACACGTGATTATATGTATTTAATAAAATATTATTTACGTGGGCCGTATTTATTTTTATATTTTCGATTTAATAATTGACATCGTGTATTAAATCACATGTGATTATATGTATTTAATCGCATATGATTTACATGGACAATATTTGTTTTCACGTGTTGATTCAATAGTTGTTCTTGTGTATTTAATCACAAGTGCTTATATTTAATTAATCACATATGATTCGTATGGAAAATATTTATTCTTGTGTCGATTCAATAATTGTTCTAATATATTTAATCACATGTGATTATATGTATTTAATCACATATGATTAATATAGACAAAGAACAACTATTAAATCAAGAACGCGAAAATAAATTTTATGCATATAAATCATATCCGATTAAATACATATAATCACATGTGATTTGTAACATCCCAAAATTCAAGATCAAAAATTTCGTTTTAATTAAGTTATTATATAAAACCATCAGTATAAAAACAGTCATATTAATATCTCATGTCAAAACCAAAGTGTCAATAATCAAAACATATTATCATAAAACCATATCAGAGTGTAATCCTAAAGATCTCATGTGCGGAAAACATAGTGTGATGTGCTACGATCAAGCCGACTCCTTTCCTTTGAAAACGAGTACCTGAAACCAAAACTGTAAACCGTAAGCACAAAGCTTAGTGAGTTCCCCCATCATACCACATACCATACAATCATATAATAAACATACTGTCAGGCATATCTGGGTGCCTGACCTACCCTGCTAGGCATACCGGGGTGCCTAACCTACCCCTGTCATACATATCGGGGTGTCCGACCTACCCCTCCGGTTTATCTCAACCGGTTACGGGGACTATTTCACCCCTTACTACTACCACATGATAACATAACAATCTCATACTGTCTAGCATAGTTGGGTACTATACTACCCCTTCGGCCCTATCGGCCGATAACCGGGGACTATTCCCCTTACTACCGTAAACTCATAATATCATGTTATACTAGCATGTAAAACATATCAGACAGTGGCAAACCCAGATAATTATCACAAAGACGATTATCTAGCAACAACCCTATTAGTGGGCCGACATTGTGGCCTTAGACCCACTTCTACTGGAAGGTAAGACAATCCTACTCTGCTGAAGTCCTGCAGACTCAACCCCAGCTGCTGGATTACAGATTCCCGAACTATCAACTCCAAAATAACACCCAATTAATAATTGGGTCTCACTACATAACCATAAGTACATTCTTTGGGTAATTACTACATTACCCCTAGCTTCGCTTATTTAAGCCCAAGGACCAATCCATACGCCCAAAGTCAATTAGGAATCAAAGCCCAACACATGGCCCAATTTTCCAAGTTGGGCCCAAACCCCTTACATGGTCTTACCCTAGGCCCATTAAATTATTCTAGTCAAATTGCTTGACTATGGATGGCCCGTTAATAACCCAATCATCAAGGCCCAATAGAGAGGCCCAACAATAAACCCAAGTGAAATTAGGGTTTCACACAAAATGATGATTAGGGTTAAGTTTCCTACTTAACCCATTAAGGACTTAATCCTCTAAGGACTTAATCCATGAAGTCCAATATCGCTTAGATTAATCCTTGCTAATGATTATTATTTAATATCTCACGTTATTAAATAATTACCGCGTGTCCCGGTTAATTCCCCAAATTAGGGTTTTATTGGCATTAGGGTTTTCCAATCCAAATATTAGCCCATTTATCAATTTGTTGGCCTTTTATGCAATTAGGGCTTTATTGGGCCTATAAGGCCCACTAGAATATCATTAAGCCCATTAGGGTTTTTACTAAGCCCATTAGGCTTCATTGGGCCTATTAGGGCTTATTTGGGCCCATTAGGGTTTCAAGCACCCCAAACGAGTCAACACAATCCGGCAAGGCACACCGCCACCCGACACGGCGGCCGGTAGCGGCAGGAGGCGGCAGCCACCACCCTACAGTGGTGGTTTGAGATTTCTATTATTATTTTGTCACCATTACAATGTACAACTCGATAGCACACACACACACACACTAATAATAACACACACGCACACACACAACCACCCTTGTGGTGGCCGGTGGTGGTAAGTGGTGGCAGCGGCTTTTCCGGCCAACAAGCTACACACAACACATGCTACAAAAAGAACAAACACCCACACTCTTTTCTTGCTTGCAAACGGGTCCAGCCACCCTCCTGGTGGCGGTTGGCGACGGTAGAAGTACAAACCGACGGCAACAGCGGCGGTTTTGACGACGGCGTGGAGTATTCACGGCGACAGAAATGACGGACCCACCAACCGAAAACTCGACTGGTCATGGCGGTTCTTCTCCAGCTACGCGCGAAGGAAGTTGACGATGGCGGTCGAGGCTTGAACGAATCACCGGCAGCAAGAAATGGAGAAGAGAGGACGGCAGTCGGACGTCCGGCAGCGGTTGGTCTTCCACGAGAACAACAACGACGCGACGTCGGAGAAACGCCGACGACTATCGTGAGACGTGAGTGCGGCTGGCGGCAGAAGGCAGAAGAAGAAGAAGAAAGGTGGAGCGGAGTGGCGGAGTGTTGGTAATCAGCTAGCCTTTCACAAGCTAATCAACGAGAAGACAATGCAAAAATGTAAAATAGACAGAGTATATGAGGCAAATGCTTCTTGTGTTTATTTATGTAAAACTTGGGATCAATCTA